TTATCGTATTGTCTTAAGGTTCAATTAAAACTATCTTAGACCATATTGGATAGTCTTGGGCTCAATTCTATCTCAAAAACGCTAATTTTCAGATTTTCACTATTTATCAGGTAAAAATCCAGTTTTCTAGCCTAACTTCAAAAATTCATAATTTAATATAGAAAAATCAAAATGGAGTGGTTCAAAATTCTATAAAAATATATTTAAATTCTTTTTTAGGGAAAAGTAGTCTTGTGAACCAGTTCCATTGGAAAAATCATCAGGTTTTTGTGAAAGTCGCCTCCGTCTATTAGGCAAAAACCCTTTTTCTAGATTCTGAGCCTTAACTTTGAAAAATCATTAAAAATCATGTAGTTGGCCATTTTTAACTTGTTAGCTATCAAAATGAAGCTCAAAACGTGATCTACAAACATACCAAATTTCGTAATTAAATGCATTCAGGAACTTAATCAAAATGTCACGAAAAAGTAGTGGTGTCAGTGAATTTACAGCATTGCCCAACATAATATTACATAATCCAAAAGTCCACGAATTTTTATGGTATGATACCATAATTTTAACCTTCAATATGCAACTTGCCCTTGGATGTTTTAGGTACTAAAATGTTAGATTGTATTTGGGAAATGAGATTTCAATGAAATCTCAATAGCAAATTAACCAACTATATCATCAACAAGTATCATCATCATGCATAACTACATTAACTACTATTGGTGAACTAGCATGCTTATCATTTGGCAAACTCAATCATGCAAAGGCCAAAGCAAAAAGTGCAAAGAGCAGCCACATCACAATCAAGAAAGTTCATCCATATAATAGCAATTAATCATGCAATAATCAATAATGCTAAGTTAATGTTAGTAGTTAGGTTCAACTTGCTACCTTGCTCTAAAAGCTTGAGTTTTTTTTGTTTCTCTTCTCCTTCACAAATATCAAACCCTAGCATGGTAATCCATCAAAAAGGGCAGCAAGAGTCATTAACCAAACCAAGTAAAAGCAAGAACACAACTTAAACATAACTCTGGCTCTTTAAAGCTTCCACATTTGTTCTTTCATTTATGACCTTTGTTTTCCATAAACCTTAAAATTGCTTCTTGACTTATTCCCACATGATTTTTCATGTAGATTCCAAATATGTGCTTAGATTTGAGAAAATAAAATTCCTCCTTTCAGTTCTCTCTTGACCAAACCAAAGGGGTCCTTTAACCAAAAATTACAACTTTGATTTTTAATGCTTCCAACACTGGTTCTTTATGTTTATCCTACACCATTTTTCATTTTGAGCACAATGGAAGCATTAAAACATTGAAAAAAATGTCCTAAGGTCCATTTACTATCTTGGCCAAAATGGTCCATATGATACACAACCAAGAAAACACTTCAAAAATCAACTCACAACCACTTGCAACTACTAGGATCTATCATGCTTTAAAGTGTTTTAGCAAGTGTGATCAACAAAAATTCTTTCCCTACCATATATACATTTCATCCAGCACCCAACAAAGAGAGGAAACAAAAAATTTTAACCATACAAAGAAAGAAAACAAGGCAAGGATCCATTTAGAACTAAGAACTAACCTTGAGTCCTTGGTTGTATGATCAAGTTGGTAGCTTTTCCCTTGATTTCTCTTTGAGCTCTCTCTTTTCTCTCTTGGTTCTCTCTTGGCCGAAACATCATCTAAATATTAGGGGGAGATGAGCTTGTTTAATGAGCCAAAATATCCCAACCACCATCATAAATGAAATTCCAAGTGTCATTACCCTCTTTAATCTTACTTTTTCTTTCATAATTAACTAAATCCAAATGAAATTAATTACCAAAAGTCAAAATCCTCTCCATTTGAGAAATGACACTTGGTAAGTTCAAATTCTCTCCATTAGGAGCTTGACACATGGCTAATTGTGAACCATTTGAATTGCAAGACTCTAGTCTTGCTTTATCGGTGCACTTCGACTCTGGGTTTAACTTTGTTTCTATAATTATAGTATTTTAGCCTCTGTAATTATTTTCTATCAGATCCCTAATTTATTCTCTTTATTTTTATCTTCCCAAATTGCCCTCTTAGTCTCAAAATTAATTTTCCAATAATTAAATAAAAAGGGAAACTAATTTCCTTCTCTTTAGGGTTTTTCCACATTTCAAAGGTATTCGAAAAAATCTTGGATACTTGAGGGTCTTTATTTAATTCCATAATTTCTTATAATTCCTTGGGATATCATAGGAATTTTCTTAGAATTTTATTCCCCTTAAAAATATTTATTTGGAATTTTCAAAATAAAATCCCTTAAATTGGCTTAAATCACCCTTAAATTCTTTTGTAATTTCTCTAAGGGTAATTTGGTCATAAAACCATTTTTATAATCTCATATAATTCTCAAGGATATTATCCTTTTTTTTTCTTAATTTTTTAAGGCTTGAAAAATATTATTCCATAATTATGTTTGACCAATTTTCCTTAATTAGTCAAATTTCCATAATTAGCTTGGAAAATCATAATAATTATTTTCCACCAAAATTCTTCTAATTCTCCTTATCATTTTTGGCCCTTAATTATTTAGGAATATTTCTTATTCCTAATTACCATGGTATTGGATGTAACACAATCACTCTGTCATATTATATTTTGGTTATATTGTCATATATAATCATTAATAATGAAGTGTCAAAAACTTACCTCTTCCTGTCCCCTGTCAATAGTGGCACTGTGACTTGTCAAAAATAGCACACTGACTTGTTAATGGAGCACTGTAACTTGTTAGTGAGAACACTATCCCTTGTCAATGGTCACACTATGACTTGTCAATGGAGCACTGTGGCTTGTTAGTGAGAACACTGTCCCTTGTTAATGGTCGGAGCACGGTGACTTGTTAGTGAGAACACCGTCCCTATCAATGGTCATACTATGACTTGTCAGTGGAGTACTGTGACTTGTTAGTGAGAACACTGTCCATTGTCAATGGTTGCACTATGACTTGTTAGTGAGAACACTGTCCCTTGTCAATGGTTGCACTATAACTTGTTAATAGAACACTGTGACTTGTTAGTGAGAACACTGTCCCTTGTCAGTGGTCGCACTATGACTTGTCAATGGAGCACTATGACTTGTTAGTGAGAACACTGTCCTTTGTCAATAGTCGTAGTATAAATTGTCAATGAAGCACTGTAACATTATTTATATAGACACTTTTAGTTGTGAAAATTTTGAATATCAATTGTTAATATCCACACATTCCTTTGTAATGAAATTCTTATATCACCTGTCATTAAATTAGAATATTTTTTAAAACACTATCCCTTAATATCTTTGCATATATAAAACAAAAATGTAATAAAACCCTAAGAAATTAGTATTACAACATGTGATGACAAAGGTAATAATATTATAAATATAATTTGATCAGTTTGTTACAAAATGATCTGTTTACCAATCATCTTACAACACATATCATGGGCTAACAAAACAATTAGTAGACTACTCTATCTCCTCTTCTTGCTCTTATTGTAGTCTGATAGTATCGACATCACTTCACCCCCATGTTCATTATTTGGATGGGTAACGAACCACCACAAACAACCAACCTTCAACTCTTGTAGTTCATTATTGGAGTATCGTGGCGTTGTATATCCTGCATCATCACAAACAGTGCCATCCCACTCTTGTAGCCAAGAGAGAATATGAACTCCACATGAATCACTGCCAAGGAAATTGAATATATTAGCACCATGCAATTGTTATTGTGAACAAAAACAACATAACACAATTAAACAAAACAACTACACTCACGTATCATTCTGCATATAAACTTTGGCCTATCTCACTTCGTTGTGAATTTTGTCCTCATTGGTAAACAATTCTGGCTTAACAGCATGCAACATCGTATGGAAACAGTTTATCTATAAAAAAAACACACATAATCAAAAGGCTTCACTAACAACGCAGCATCCAGTGACAAGGGACAGAGCATCCAGTGAAAAAAAACACAGCATCCACTAACAACTAACAGAGCTTCCAGTGATAAGGGACACAGCATCTAGTGACAACTAATAACATCCAATGACAACTAACAGAGCATGCAGTGACAACTAACACAACATCTAGTGACAACTAACACAACATCCACTGACAACTAACAGAGCATGTGATGACAACTAACACAGCATCCAGAGACAACTAACAGAGCATCCAGTGACAACTATGTAGGCCACTAGTGACAACTATAAGAGTAGTCATTGACAAGTATAACAGTAGCAAATAACTACACATAGTCTGTGTTGCCATAAATTGTTTGGGATTGAAGTGCCCTTTATTTGTCCTCTTTTTCTTCTTTGTATCATGTTGTTGCTCACCCCCTTCTTCTTTGCTTCTTCCTCTGCTTGTAATCTCATGAATGTGCTGCTATCAACTAAGGAGTCAAGGGCGTCAAAGGTCATGGTCTTTGTCTCTAAAACATAATAAAACCAGTTATCTTCAAATAACGTAGGACCGAAAAGGAAGTCGCAATCTATTATACTGTACCTAATATATTTAGGTAATATTTCCCTTTCATGGTCCTCCCATTTCCATCTTAAAGGATTGGCTACCATTTTTTGCATGAAATCTGCAAAAAATATATGCTGTTTCACTCGCCCCTCTTTATCCTTTTAATCTCCAACAAATGTCTTTGCCACCATAGTCATAAACCAAAATTACAATACAAAGAAATTACAACTCTTTACCATCAAATAACTCATTCTAATGTTAACTATCTACATGTGACTTACCTGTCGTTTATCCATCTTCTACGTTGGAGACATTACAGCTCACCACGGGTTAGGAAGTATCCATACATCAATACAAAGTATCTAATGCAAATAAAACAATTATGAAGTCAATAAATCTATAACATAATATAAATTTAGACACCAAAACATAATATTTACTGCTTTTGCTCCTCTTCATCACACCTTGCTGTACACATGTTAAATAAAGCTTGCTTGTCATCAATTGTTCTCTTTTTTCCCAAGCTTACTTTTGATTTCTAGAAATGGATACCTAAGAGCCTTACCCTTACTTATCACCCTTGTTGATTTCCTCACATATTTTTTCCTTCCTCTTGCTTATCCTCTTCATCCTCTTCTTCTCTTGTATTTCCTTCTTCATCTTCTTTGTCTTCTTCTTGCTCTTTATCCTCTTCATCCTCCTCTTCTCTTGTATTTTGTTCTCCATCTTCTTTGTCCTCTTCTAGCTCTTTGACCTCTTCATCCTCTTCTTCTCTTTTATTTTCTTCTCCACCCATCTCCTTTTCTGATTGATTTTCTTGTTCTTCTTCTCTATCATCTTCCGATTCAGTTCCTTCTTCTTCAATTTCCTCTTCCTTTGATTCACTTCCTTTGACAACTTTTTCCTCTTCTGATTTAGATTCTTCTTCCTCATCTTTCTCCTCTTCACTTACACTGTCACTATCTTTTGTTAATCTTGACTGAAGGGCCATCATTTCCTCTCCCAGCATTGACACTAATTGTGCATATGTTTTCTTGATCTCCTATACAAATAAAATTCATAACTTCAATATGTAAGCAACAGCAAAGAAAAAAAAAAGTACATTAAGCCTGCAAGTCCACATACCAAGTGAGTTAAATTTTCTAGATAAAAATTGGTGGCTTGACTAGGCGGGCAATATTCCTTGATCGCTCTCCTTCTCCATGTGAACTCTTTGCTGTACTTTCTTTTCATCCCAAAATGCAAGAGCATGCTTAACATGTGAAGCTTTTGTTTCCCCTAGTGGAAATTTTTGTAGACAATACATTTGCATGTGACATGAATGATAAGTTAACAGCAGCCATTGACAACATTCAGACCATAAAATGACAACAGAAATATACAAATTATAATAGCACTTACTTGGAGGAAGTATAGACAACCTGACAAATTCTTCTTCTTTCAGTCAACTTGCCTTTTTCTAATTGTTTCTTGTACACTCTAATGCCCTTGTATAGTTCATTCAACGCATAAGATGACTAATCAAACCCACCCAATCAATTCTTTATTGATAGTATGGCCTTTAACAAATAATCAGTGACACAAATACTTGTATTAGGACACAACAGCGTTCCTAATGCAAACATGACAAACAGCATCTCAAAATTTTCATCTTGTTTCTTCTCAGTCAACAATGACGCTATCTTCTTGTATGGAATATTGCCATACACAACCTTCCATTGCTTGAACACTTCATCTTCACTACTCACAACTACTTTAATCTCTTCCCCCTTAAGTGGTAGCCCCATAAAGTCATGCACATCATTTGCCCTCATTTTCCTTCTCTTCCCTCTTATGGAAATGCTTTTTGTTGGAAGGTTGAATACACACATAAACTCTCCACACAATTCTCTTTGAATTGTGTGGCAACATACTTCAACCAACTTGTCAAAACCTATCTTTTCTAGCCCTGTCCATTAGTTCCTTCTGTAGAGATATTATAGGGGATATTATAAGATATGTAAATATCCTGTAATTAATATATAGGATACGATATGATATTATTTCCTAGTAATGAGCCATTAATGCCTAGTCTCCTCTATTGTGTATATATACCCCTTCAAAATATTAATAAAATATAGGATTTTCATTCACCAAATTACATGGTATTAGAGTAGGTTTTATAGGGTTAAAAAAAAAATTTTTGGGCCTCTGGTGCGTCTCTACCACTGTTCACGAAGCTGCCACAGAGCTTTGGTTTCCTGCCCTCTACAGTGAACACGTGCCAGTCAAAGGAGGTCGTAGGGTCCTGATCGGCCGTCCATCGAAGTCTCGTCATCGTCTGAGCAGCGTGTGGCCTTCACGCTCTGTCACGTCTGCAGCGTTTTCAGGCATCGTCTCTCCTCAGTCAGTCTGCCTCACCCTTTCCGACCCATCCCTGCTATTTCTACTTCCTGGGTCCCCTTGTTTATTGTGATTTAGAGCACTTTGGCTTCTTGAGAAAATGTTAGCACTCTGGTTTGTGGAATTCTGATTTGTTTTATTTTGTGGTCCCTAGTATGATCCATTTGGCTGATTAGTGTTGCTGTGAAAATTATTGTCCTAATGGCTGATAATGTAACATCCTGACTTTTAAGCCTAGAAGTACCAGAAATAGCATGACTTAGATAGGCTACCAGACCCTTTTTGAGTAGAAGTTCCAAAGATGAGAAAGGAAGTCAAAGTAGTTTTAGGGACTAAACTGCAAAGTAAAATTTTTCAGGGACTCAAGTATAATCAAGGCTAAAGGCTCCAATAAAGTTTTAAGGACCCAAAAAGAGAAAAGAGGCTAGATACAGGCCAAGGGTTAAGTTAAAAACCTCAAAGGGAGGATTGTATGAAGTTAAGTCCAAGTAGGGACTAAATCGTAAATTCAGAAAATTATGACCAATAGGGGTAAAAATGGAAGAGTATACAGAGAATTCCAAAAAAATCCCAAAAAATGGGAATAATATTCTAAAACTCTTTTGTGAAGAGAAATGATGAAAATACCTCTGAGGTAGCTTAAATGGAATTTATGAGGTTATGACCGGTAAAAAGTATACCGTTTGAAATAATTATTTAAAATAGCGAGAGACCTCAAAAATGTACACAAAAATAAGGTTAAATGGTTGAAAGGTTGCACTAATTCATAAAATTAGTCCCATAACCAAAAGGCCAGTGAAATGGCTGTAATAAATAAAAAGCTGGTTATGCAGATAAAAGGGCATTTTAGCAAATAATTTTATGTAAGGCTTAAAGGGAGTGTTATGGCCTGAGAAAATTTATAGATATTCTCTAAAATTAAAGAGAATTTATGGAGTAGACAGAAGAATTTTCTAAGCTCTAGAAGGCTACAAAGAAAGTCGGAGAAACGTGGGCCAAGTAAAATAAGAGGAAACTTAGGGAACAAGTTTTGATCCAATGGCTAGGATCTAATCTCCCTTCTCCTCCACCATATTTGTGACAATTGGCACCTTCTAGAAGAATGAGGTAAGGATGATGCAATGATGATGTAAAAGTCACCTTCTAAGCTTTTTATGCATTGTAACTCCAGTTTGACCTATCAAATGAATGAGTTAAGTCACGAGAAGCAGACTTGTAGTACACATCTCAAGCTTTAAAATAAGAGCTAGATCACCCCAATTGGATGTCTACACAAGGAGATATGAATTTTCAAAGTTGAGGTAAAAAATCTGGAAGTTCCAGATTTTACGAAATAAATAGTAATATTTATTGATTAAACTGTATGAATTGGCCAAGGATAAGTCTAATTGGATATTTTTTTCCTTAAAGAGCATCGAAATAGCTTTCCATAGAATGTTAGAACACGTCAGTACAATATTTATGGAATTAGTTATGAATTTTTGAAGTTGGGCCTGTAATCTGGAATTTAAATAGTGAATAGTAACCTGAGTAATTATGTTGAAATTTTAAATCCACGGGCTTGTGTCATGATCTGCTTGAACCATAACACTTACAAATGTGTACTATGAGGGGTTAAAGACAAGGCATTTTATTTTAGTATCAGAGCAGAGGTTCTGGCAAGTATGTAAGCAGAGTAAAGATTCTGGCAAGTGTTGAGACAGAACAGAAGTTCTGGTAGAGGTTCTGACTAAGGTATAAGCAGAGTATTGGTTCAAGCAAAACCCGGTATGAGGGAAAACCTAAATTAGAAAAGTAATGGGTTACTAAGATTGATCCAATTGAGGTTAAGATATTGAGGTGTTTTCTCCAATAGAAATAAATATAGAAGAGAAGTAAAGAAAGACAGAGAGTAACCTAAGAGATAGGTAGTCATTACTAAGAGACTCCCCCCTAGGAGAGGAATGGTTGAGCTGAGAGAGATTGACCAGGGAATGATTCAAAGTTGAAAGACATCTCTAGAAGGTAATAGCTAAGAGTATGGTAAGCTAGTAAGGAATAGGAGTCCAGACCCTAATAGGGAAGCAGGGTGACAACCTAAGCCTTGGGTGATTGGTTAAAGGTGGCTGACTGGAATGTCACACAGTACAGGTGTTTTAATAATTAATGCCTGCTATGTAATATGATCACTTTATGATTAGTATATGACCATAGAAATAAATGGTTAAGGGTACAATAAGCTAGTCAGAGGTATAAGTCAATGCTCTAGCAAGGGAACCGAATGTCAACCTATACCTTTAGTAATCGATGTGACCTCAATAGAAGCAAGGTAACGAGATAATATGCTTGAGGTTCGTTTAAATCCCTGAATAGAGATAGAAATCCCTAAAGGATAGTGAACCAAGAGGGACTAAGACTAGATGATAATGAATGAAGGGTCAATGATGACCTAGGTGCTTGACCTAGATACCACACAGTAAGGTGATTAAACATTCGCTGTGTGATGTGATGAGGGTATGGTGATCAATACCTGACCATAAGAATAATTGGTCAAGAGGGAAAGAAAGTTAGAAAGAGTAAAGTTAGGCAAGATCCCTCTTAAGGATAGAGATGAAAGGAAGTGAATAAGAACATGATAGTGGATGGTTGCATTGGGAGCTAATGCACAGGGAGAGATAAGCAAAGTTCCTGGTGATACCTAGAGCTCGATGATACTTAGATACATGATAATGTCAGGGATTAAACAGTATTCTTTTATGTCCCTAAGGTATCCAAGAGCCTGCGACCATGGCACTCAGGCCATTAAGGAATCTAAGAAATGAGATTCCTATAGATAGATGCCACTACCTTTACGATTGAATAATCTAGTGGAGAGGCTCCCTTTGATAGCGATATGGTATTGAAGGAATGTACCCTGGTAGAGATTGCATATGAGAAAAGTCTTGACCATGAAGTACCTCTCTAAGATTAGGAAGTGGTTCTCCGAATCAGAGTGACGCTGCTCTAGTAAGAGTATGCTATCCTCTGAAGGAATGAAAGGAAAAGTAAGTGGTTGAGTTGACGATGCTCCAGTCAGAGCAATCTGTCCTCCCACAAGAAAAGTAGAAACAACCGAGGCAAGGCACAGGATAGACCTTACCCCAGAGAGAGAGAGAGAAACTGGTTAAGACAACAGAAGTGTGATATGCAAACAGATGCTCATTGAGCTTAACAGGGTACTATGGAATACTGAAGGATAATGAGAATATGATGATATAAGTCCTCTCCTGATGTTGTCCAAATTGTTAAGAGACAATAAGGACTATAGAGTCCCAAGACAAGGCAGGCTGGCATTGATATAATGGCAAGTTAATGGGCTCTAGAGATGAGCCAGTGCCTAAGCATTCGAAAGGCTCAGGAAAAGAAAAGTGGCATAAGGAAGCTAAAACTAAGGGCTAAAGTAATATGGAAAGGCTAAGAGTTCCAGGAGTTGACAGAAAGGATTGAGTAAGGCCTAAGAAAACGATACTGATATCTGTGATCAGTCTTGGGGAATAATCAGTCAAGTTACTAGCTGAGTGGAGGTGACCTATTTTATTACTCAACTCTATGGTCTAGAGTCTCCTAGAGATCCTAAGATGGCTCAGATTGATGATAGTATTCCAGGGTCATGATGGATCCTGAAGAGGTTTACGGTAGAGCACAGTAGCTCCCGAGGTTATGGTAGACCATGCCTAAGAGAAAATGGCAAGCCATAAGGGTAAAAGTACAGTACCTCTTTGGGAAGACGATGACCAGAGATGAGTTTAAGATACTAAAATCTCCTTCAACAGTGGACTAATAAAGAGAGAGTACCCTTGACTTGTTTCAGACACCTTTATTGTCGATTAGACGGGGCTCAATTCTGTTCTAGTCAATGAAGGAAAGAAAGGAGATATGCCCTTAAAGTAAAGAGAAATGGCAGGGTATGTCAAAAAAATAGATAAAATCGGTATTAAGAGAACCCAAAATGTCATGGTATAGTAAAATACCAAGAAGACAGGTATACTGTCATGGTATTATAATGAAAAAATGAGCCTAAAGTATAGAAGAATGTGAGTAGTGGTGACAAAATGCTTAAAAGTAAAGGCCACACTCATGTAAGTGACAAAAAAGTATAAAATGACAAGTCATATAAGTATAGAGCCCAGGGTTGAAACCCGTAAATGAGGTATAATGAAAAGTCAAAGAGGTCAAAGTTAAGTATAAGTGGGGATATTCTCCTCAGTTAACCTCTCATTAAAGAGAATAATAGATGTTTGACACGGAATTTCGAGGAGAAATTCTTTTGAGAGGGGAAGAATTGTAACATCCCAACTTTTAAGCCTAAAAGTACCAGAAATAGCCTGAATTAGATAGGCTACCAGACCTCTTTTGAGTAGAAGTCCCAAAGATGAGAAAGGAAGTCAAAGCAGTTTTAGGGACTAAACTGCAA